TATATAGTAATATCTTATTATTTATAATTGTAAAATATTCACATAAATTTAGTTTTAAAATCACACATTTTTATGAAACATTGAACTCACGAAAGTTTAAAAACATAAAAAACAATTTAAGAGTATTAGTTTCACTGATTGTATTATTTTATTAATAAAAAATTCAACTTTAAATAGATTCTATATTAATTGAGTTTATTTTATAAAAGTTATAATCTCTTTATAAATACTTTTTATAACTTCTTTTGTCTTTTTCTTAAATTTTTATCGTTTGATTATCAAAGGCCTCATATAAATTCACGGTATAGGGGTTTATAATTCTCATTGATCAAAATCTCAAAAAAGTAAATTTACTTTCTGTTTTTTGTTTAATTGAGCATTTTGAGGCATACAGGGTTTAATAATTCATGCATGTGGTTTAAAATATATTAAAGTGTATATTTATGTAGTTGTGATTGTAATGGTATGTTTAGATCTTTGATCTAATGTCTAGATAGGTAGTTTAAACATGTGTGAGAACTAAAGTTCTAAGAGCAACTTTGAGTAAAGGGCGATGTTCTCTACACCATGTGAGTTAGTTTTAATTTATAATTGTATTAATAGTATATGAATTCTAATGAGTGATGATGTTTGATGAGAAAATTGGGTGGGTGAAATTTGTTGTAGATTAGTATGTTATAATTAATTGAGCGTGTATGATGAATAAAAACGATTAAATGTGAGATATGAGTTGCATATTAACTTGATCTTTAATGTGTGAAATTTGAATTGCACTTGTAAAGTGGTATCTTTGCTTCTAATGAGTCATTTTATATGAATTGATATTGTTTTTAACTTGAAAAAAAGTATTCATTAGAGCCAAGGTACCCTTGTTATGTAATTTTAGGAGTCTGGGTTATGCAGGCTCCTTAGCGAGCCAATCACTTGTTTCTAACAAAGAAGAAGGAGAGGCCTTCTCACTTAGTGAGTGTTAAATTTGGTTTTGGCAAAGATGTAGCGATGTGTTCTCGATGGGTGAGCCAACTTCTCATTGGACGAGACTATGTTTCTTATTCCAAGTCAACTTTAGAAAATAAGAATTTCTGTTTCATTAACCATTGGACCAAGCTGAAAATTAGAGAGATGGTCCTATATATATGAATCTTTATTTTTCTTGTTGAGATCTTTGATTAAAGGTATTTGATCAGAACATATGTTTCACCGTTTTGATGTAATTATTGGAAATAATGTATTTGAATATTATGCTAATGAAATAGAAAATAAATGATGAATTATTAACATTAAATTAAAATAAATGATGAATTATTAACATTAAATTAAAATAAAATGATGAATTATTAACATGTAAATTGGTAGTGTTTATTTTAAATTAAGGTGCATATGAATGGAATGTTATGGTAGTTATTCTTAGGGTGAGAATACTACAATGACTTGGTTTTATGTGGGGTGTATTGAGGACAAGCACTGAAATTAAATCATCATTACTCTATTAGTAATTAAATTCATATAAATGAAAAGAACTATTTGTGAGAGTCGATGGAGTTTCATATCTAGAGTGTTGACAATAGTCAAACTTAGGAAAGACACTAAATTTATCCTGTCATGGTCTATGGATTGGGAAGCAACTCATATATGTTATAATTATAACTTTTAAAAGGTAAGAGTGATTGAGTAAAGGCGGAAGCAAAGTCTCAGGGTGATACTTAATACTTTAGTCCTCCAGAAATTATGTATGTGGTTCTTGGTATATGAATGAGTTATGAGAGCCTTTATGCTTGATTGTTGATTATATAATTTGTGAAAGTTATGTAGTTACACTTTGAGTTGCTATGTGTATTCTATTTCATTTAAAACTTATAAGTTGTAAATTATCACTTTACCTTATCTTATTTTTTGTGTTTGGTTATAGTTTATCCGCTTGTGACATCAATTAAATGACAACTAATGATTGTTAGGAAATAATTGTTGCAAAGGTATATAGTTTTGTATTGTATAGCTCTTTTATAAAACATTATAATTATATATATATATATATATATATATATATATTAAAGTAAGCATAGTTAAAAAATTAAGTTAAATCATTTAGTTATATTAAAATGATGAGAGGATGTATCAAAAGTATATATTAGTAATAAATTTTAATTTTGAAAATAATCATGATAGATGATGAAAACATAAGAAAGACAATGAAAACATCAGTGTGAGGAAAAGGTGAAATAAATAGTTACAGAGAGAAGAGGGAGAAAAGGAAAGGTTAGAAATAGAAGAAGTTAAGGAAAGGCGAGAAAGAAGGGGGAGTGTGGTAGGACCCAGAAACGCGTTCCAAACGACAAGGAGACAAAGGTGGGGCCAGACATGACAGGGGTCGGGAAAACGAAAATAAGGTGTCGTTTAATGGAGAGATGTGGTGGGGAATGGCGACAGTTCACCACACACAACGCTCACCAACTCACCCATCCTTATTCATATTCCTTACAAAATCATGGATCCATCTAGTTTTTGTTACCCAAACCCAGATTTGTTGGTTCTTTTAGGAGACACATAGCCATGCTCATATGTGTGAGTGCAACCTTACCTTCCAATACATGTTGCCAAATTCATTCTGCTCCTTTCTTTCATAAAACCATAACCTTTTGCTTTTCCCTTTCAAACAATTTTCTCCTTTTTCACCCCACCTCTCACTCCCACTCAATTTACCTTTAACTTTTATTATTCATTCATAAACCTCTATTTTATTATCATCATTTTTTTTAATCTTTCTTTCAAAATCAAGCTCCTATCAAATTTGTTGTTATTTGTAAACCTTTTTAATTTGTATTATTTAAAAATAAATAATTTAATCACTATATTACGTTATAAAAAACCCTTGATGATAAAAAGAAATTACCAAACACGTTGTGTTTTTTCTTCAATTTCTCCAGGCGTGTTTAGAAATTATGTTAATAGTGACTAGAGATTGAAATGGTCCTATCCGATTGATACAGACTTGTTGGATCCAATTTTCATTTTTAAAAAGTAGATGAATGTTAATATATTTTTTTAATCATTTCCGACATCCCTGTTTGTGCATGATCGTCTCAGATATGTCATCATTCTAAAGTCTCTCAAATTGGTCCTTAATTGTGAAAATTTAAATCAATTGAGACCTTCTCATTAAGTTGGCTAGACGACGTTAAATAAATTGTTACATGGATAGCTGAAATGACCAAATGATACTGACATGACACACTATTATTATTGACCTGGCTTTGTTTTATTTATATATTTTAAAAAGTTAACTTTTTAAATCAAAACCCAATGTTTTTATTTTAAAATAATAAATTAGTAGTTAGTTTTATTTAATTTCATTGTTGTTAAATTTGGGATAATTGGAAGAATAGGATTTTGTCAAGGCTTGTCTTGTGTGGTTGGAATTTGGAGGACAATAGGGTACATCGGTGGACAATATTATTAAAGAAAAGTTTTCCTAATAATAAATATTAATTTTTACTATTAAAGCAAAATAATAATATTATATATGAATCTATTAAATTTATCATATAAATCAAATTATTCATAAATTTTCACAAACATTTTTAAATTCACTTATTTTTATTTTCAAATATATTAAAAAAACAGCATAAATTTTATCTTTAAATTGATTGACTGGCCTTTAATTCCATTGTTTCCAAACAAACAACACACAATTATGAAAAACTTTACGAAGAGGAGAGACTTCTCTTGAAGAGAAACATGGCCCTTTGTCGAGCTCCGCAACCAAACGCTCCTCAACGCCCTTTTCACTGCTATGCCTATCAATCTGACCAAATACGAAATAGGCTCACCGCCATCCACTGGGAGAATTTCATTTTAAATCTATTATTTATGAAAAAAACTGGAATCAAACAGGTTAACATATTGTCAATTCACACAAAAATTACAAAAAATTGTCAGAATTTTCAAAATACACAACACTCTATTGGCATAATGCACCAAATCTCAGTTTTATAAGGGTCACTATTTTGAAATTGTATTCATAAAAGCCAAACTCAATGAAAGTTCTTTGATGTCGGTGCTTTCACTTACACCTCTTCTTAACATCAAAGGTTTCTAAAGTGAACTTTTGCTTTTAAAGGAGCTTTGCCTTTGTTGAATGCCTCACATTCCTCCCTCTCCAAATATTTTCCTCCCTTCTTCCCTCTTCCATCTTCCTTTCTACCTGATCTTGTACTGTTCTTCAACTCATTCATGCTTCCAATTAATCCATCATTTTCTGAAAAACCAAAATCATAGTTCAAATCCTTTATTACAATATTCCCTGACTTTCACAACATGAACATGTTCGCATTAAGGACAATTATTTACCAGGACTAGATAACACTGCACGTGGCCGTATTACACAAGAAGCTCTTGCATTTTCTTTTGGACTTTCACCAACTCTCTTCACACTCTTCCATACTCCTCCTGTGCAAGTTCAACCATCATCCAAATTTACTTCAAAGAACCAGTGCTAAGGAGATGTATCAGGGAAAATCTCAACCTTTAGTTGAAGGGGTGGATCTCATTGTTACATGCTGAGGACAAACCCTAGTGCTTTTCGAAACTGAGGCTGCACATTCCCTCTCGTTCTTCTCTTTTTCTCTCAGAGACAACAATTTCGTGTTTTAAGACATTCCAAGAAAAGAAATTTGCAAGGGTATAAGAGATAAACATCAAATCAAATACAGTTTACCTTCAAAGTATAGTAACTCGATGAACTTTGAAAGCATCCAAGATTCACTGTCGTTTTCTGGATAAACACATTCGTCTTCTTCCTCTGGTGATCTTACTCTCACCTTGGGATTCACTTCAACCACAAGCCACAAAGTCACAAACTAAAAGGTGGGGGGATTATTAACATATATCACAAGAACTGTATACAGAATGATAAATGACTGTTATTGAAAATGGATTAAACCAGAAAGGATGACAACATGCATATATAACATTAACATGACGTGATTCTGTAATCACAACAGAGAAGACGTGAAGGAAACTCACTTGCACATGTGGTGTTTGGAAACGAGAGTTTGGAATAACGCCTTTGAAAGTTGAAACCTGTTGTAAGTTATAAAGGGCAGCATCAATGTAGAACAATGGTTAAATGTGTAAAGAAGAAGCAAAAGGTGTGGGGTAAAGTGAGAACTCGTAATTATATTCCTTAACTTGAACACCAAGAAGGCTAGTGTACTATATTCCTTAACTTGAACACCAACAAAGTCAGTGTAATGCATATGACCAAGTAGCCTTTAGTAACATCAACTTTGATCTCGTCCCAAGACAACACACTACAAAACATGTCCTATACTTACATACTTAAACACACTCATTGATTACCATTAAGCAAGTACATGTCATCTCACTAGAGCTAATAGTGTATCGCCTACTCTGAAATGTAGCACACTCAGTCAAGCTAAATGGGTCATTAAACCCAAGCTCAAACTCATTAAAATAAAGGCCTATCAGTATTAAATCATACTATAGATATCATAGTGATCAAAGTGACTTTTTTATGTTTACTTAATTACACTTTTACTTTCTGTTAAGATTTAAGATTGACTTGAGTGTATCTACAAATACAAACCTTATTCACTTTACGAAGGACGAATGCCAATAAGGATAAAAACGAGTATTTTGGAGAAAGAAAGCTAAAAAAGTTTGTGGAGTTGGAGTCTTTGTAAGATACATCTTTGACTCTGTAAAATCAATTAAATTGTTTTAAATTGTTTACAATTCAGATGATGAATGATAGACGCAAAAAGTAATGATCGACTATCATTTTATATTGGTTTTATTCCAAAATTTATAAATCATCAATAAATTAGAATTATTTTCATATTCTAGACTAGATGTAAGGACATCCTTTTATGATATATGTTATTTAAAAGTTATAAAATTAATTATTTTAATTAACTTAAAAAATAATAATTACAATATGATAATAAACTTGTTTTTGTTATTAAACAATAAAAACAATGTCAAACTAATAAATTTTACAATCACTATCTGTGTCGTCTTTTAATATATTATTTTCCAATGGTAATACAATATCGAATCAAATTTCTAAGATATTAACATATAATCATAAAAACTACAAAATGAAAGGGCCAACATACGTCAACTCGCCTCGCTTGTTATTATAGCTTAGGGTGTTACTCCCTCCACCCCCACACGTCTCTTCCTCCACCTCCCCAATTTTCTAAAATGCCAATTATATCCTTCTAAAATGACAATTATATCCTCAAAAGTTAAAATTTTTTATTTTTATTATATTTAATATTTTAATTTATTTAAAACTTCTGATTTACTTCCCTCTGCACCTCTTCCTCTCTTCCATTTTCGTTTACCTTTCTCTCTTCCGTTAAGCTTCTTCTCCACCTATAACAAATTCATATTTTAACAAATTCATATTTTAACAAAATTATTACGTTTAAAAACTAACCATATATAACATTTAAAATTATAAATTTAAATATAAATTACTGTAAATAAAATAAACAAATAAAATAAAAACGAAACGTAAAAGGAACACTGCCTCTGGACGGATGACATCCTTCAACGGATGTCAACATCCGTTGAAGGCAAAACGGATGTCGACATCCGTTTTGCCTTCAACGGATGTTGACATCCGTTGAAGGATGTCATCCGTCCAGAGGCAGTGTTCCTTTTACGTTTCGTTTTTATTTTACTACGTTTTGCGGCTCATGCAAGGATTATAGGCTTGGATATTAAAAGGATTATTGGAAGTATGGGAAGGATTTAGGGTTTAGGATTATTGGAAGGATTATAACTACGTACCTGGAGAGGAACCACGACAAGGACACTACACCATAAACGCACTGCACCACGTACTGCACCGAGAACAAGAAGAAGATTGTTTGATAATTCTTTTCACGATCACCAAGCTTTGTAGAAAAATATTTTACTCATACAAGAAACTACGTAGGTTATCAGTGAAATATGTTATAAATGAATAAAATTAAAAAACAACAATTTTAAAAATAAAATTTTACTGAGGGGCAAAATAGTAAAGGAAAGGTGGAGGAAGGGGCAAAATAGTAAAGGGGAGGTGGAGGAAGAGATGTGTGGGGGTGGAGGGAGCAACACCCTATAGCTTATAAGTGTCCTATATACTTTTTTTTATATTTTGATACTTATTATTCTTTTTAATTGCTTTTAGTTTAAAATATTTTTTGTATTATATATTTTACCATTCTTTCCAAGAAAATGGAAGGATTGTGGTCAAACTAGAATTAAGACCTTGTTAAAAAAAAGGAACCAAACTAATACTCAAACTAAGAGAGCTGAAATGATTTTAAAATAAAATTGAATTTTTCAAGGTTTTAAACACATTACAAGGATTTTTATGAATCATTTGACAAGCTAATTGATTAAAATGCTCCTTGTCAAGCAAAAAAAAAACTGAAAGAAGTACATATTAATCTATTAGGTTAAGTATTTAATTGATTAACATTACTGGATTCACTAGTACAAAAATTGCGTACAACGTTGAATATTTTGGGCTTTTAATGTGAAAGTCGTGAACGACGTTATATCAAGAGACGTTAAATTAACGTCGAATTTTCTCAATATACGACGTTAATGTTAACGTCGAATTTTGTTAATTTTTTTAATTAATTGTGATCCTTTTCTACAACTCTACGAAACCTGAAAATCATAAAAACAACAAATTTTAGTTTTTTGGTATTTTATAAAGCATGAACTATGAATGTGTAGTGTAGTATAAAAAAAACAATAATAACCAATAACAAACAAGTTCAATCAAACAACAATAAACAAGTTCAAAAAAAGTTTGAGAAGAGAAGAGAGTATCGCGCGCTAAGATAAAGTGAATGAATTTTCAATCTCCCGCTCAAATTTTTATTTAATTCATTAATCTTTTGACGTCGAATTTAAAGGGCATTCGACGTTTTATATCTTTTACGTCGAATTACAATTTTAAACGACGTTTAATAATTACATTTATTTACAAAAATGTCACCGCTCATTTTTAAGGTTGGTTATTCAGTGGTTGGACGTTGAACGCGTGACGTTATACGCTGTTTTTGTACTAGTGATTAATTGATTATGTCAAGACTTAATTGATTAAATGCAAAGTGAATCAAGTTTTCAAGTTATATTAGCCTAATCAATTAATGTTTTACTTTAATCGATTAAAATGTCAGCTTTTTACAATTTTATTTTGAATTTAATAAAAAGCGCTCCTAGATTAATATTAATAGATTATTATTTGATTAACATTTATTAAAGAGTTTTTTTTTTGGATGCTATGACATAGACTAAGCCTAATGCTAATCTATCTAAGACACACATCTTTATTGAGACTTATACATCATAAAAACAGTTAGTGAGTGATTCCTAACAACAATTCTCTTCTCTTAAACATGGTAACAATCTCCCCATTCTTTGATGATGGTCAACCTACTTATAACATAACCTTTTGGCCCTTTGGACATAATTAAAACAAGGAAAAAGTATAGAGAAATATACAGTGTAACAATACAAGAATGTGTGCATGTCATATGAAAATGTGAAATTAGAGTATATTAAGCAGTAATGCAACCCAAATAGTTCAACATAATAGTTCAACCAAATTTAGCGGTTCATCCAAATACAAAAGTTCAAATACAAGACATTAATCACCCAAAAGTTCAAGTACAAGACATTAATCACCCAAAAGTTCAAAAAATAGTATACACCAACAAAAAGAACACAAAAATACAACAAACACAGAAAAATAATCCAAATCTAGAAGCTAAAGGAAGTGGAATCTGCATCATCATCAGTGTTTTCTTCAGGATTCTAGTCTCCATCATCTGGTGAGGGAAGACTAGAAGATTCACTTATATTACCAATGTGGTGTTTGTGAGTCTCCTTTGAATAGCATGAATCTTCTCATCTAATGAATCAAATTTGCAGCATAGTATTTATGCTTCTTCTTCTACCAACTAAAAATGTGATCCAATTGTTTCAATATTACCTTCTCAAAGTCATTCTAGGTCTCACTATAGGGGCACCATGGGTTTTGTCCACATTGATAGGGTCAACATAATTAGCAATGTCCTCATGGGGTTTATCCTCGAAAAATCATTGATTATCTTTATAGATTGGACCCAATAGGATAAAGATGGCAGGTTTCTAAATTTTATTTGATGCACTCGTGATATTAAAGGATTCATCCCTTAGATCAACATGACAATTTTCAAAAACCTTGGACAGAAAAATAGAATATGGCAAAGGGTACTGAGGCAAACAGATAGATTTAAGCATATTATCAACTATTATTGCATGCCAGTTTGCATGGATATGACCTTTGAAGGAATATATGATGTATATCTATTCATTTGTTATTTGGGCATGGTTACTCCTCCTAAGAAAAAGAATCCAAGCAATGAAAATTCTAACAACCTATCATCTCTTTTCATTCCCCTAATTTTAAAAAGAGTGTAATCTCTAGGCTCAAGGTACCTAAGACAGGATTGGAAAACAACTAGTTTATTAAATATTTCAAAACCTGGAGTAACTTTTTCTCCTCCTAACTTAAACTCGGTCATTGATGTCAAAATCTCGTCATCTAAGACAATATCTACACCTTTTACTCTAGAAGCGATAACTCACTCTATCATCTCAACATTTTCATAAAACACTTTAACTAGATGGGGTAAATTTTACCATTTAGTTGGAGATGTACCTCTAGGTTTTGAGAGCAAAGAAGGTCTTGAAAATTGAATCCATCATCATGATAAAAAGTTAAGATTAAGTTACTTGTGAGTGATGAGTGATATCTCCTTCCAAAACTATGTGAAGTTTTATTGTCCTTGGTTGTTGTGTATTTGAAACCTTGGGGCATGATGAAGATGCCATTGGAGATGAAGAGTGAGAGTGAAAACAAAGAATGTGAAAGATGAAAACAAACTAGAGCTTTCTTACAAGCATGAGAACGATGAGAGAGCAAAGAGAAAGAGGTTTAAAGAGTTCAAAATTTGAAAAGAGTATTTGTGAGAAAAAGAGATTTGAAATAAATGTGCAATTAAGAGTTCATCAAAGCATGGCGTGAAAACCATTCATAGTAGTATATTAATCGATTAAAAACTTAGTTTGATAGATTATTCTCGAACGAAACACAAACATAACAAATCAGATAAAATAGTGAACTAATCGATTATAGTATAACATAATTGACTAATACCAAAGCAATCATATATGTAGTCAGACACAATTTAATTGATTATGATTAATATTTAATTGATAAATTTGTGTAATAATGTAGAAAATACAAATTTTTAGTTAGTACATGCAATATCCAATATGCCTAACACACTTCTAATTGTATAAAAGATTTATTTACGTAATGCTTTTGTAAATATGTCTGCTAATAATAAATACCTATTTTTATTTTAAAGATTATATAGTGTTTATGGTTATTAAGAAATTTCCTTAAAGATTCCCATTGGACAGTAAGATAACAATGTTATTTAGTTGTGAAAGTGCACTTTAAGGAGCTCTAGAGGAAAAGAAAATTTCACTTAATGAAAAAAAAATAAGAACACATACTAAAACATAAAAATCGAATAGTGATAAATAGAACCAAAGGAGAAGAAGAGATGAACAAAAGGAGAAGACATAATAAGGAAATGGGAAGTTCAAGGATGACATGCCACTTAGGGGGCACAAAGGCTCACCAAGCCAAGATGGTGAGGACATCGCCACTTGAGTGCTAGCTCAAGATAAAACTAATGAAGATGACACTCCAAATAGAGCATTTTCACAAAGGTTGAACAAAGTGTATGTATAAACTCCAAGTATTCAACCATTTTATAAGTCTTGTATAGATCCCTTTATATAGGAAAGAATGAAGGGTCTCTTAACAAAATAAAAAACAAAGCCTAAGGGTATCCTTATAAAAAGACAAAATAAACTTCTAGTAACTAAGTATGAAAGAAGTGAACTAAGTATGAAGGAAGTGTTTGATAGTTAAGAAATATTAACTATACTTCATACAACACAAATTACTTTTCTTCTTCATGCAACATCCTTAATAGTTGGTTGTACTTATTTTCATGGCATGTGTGAACTTCTCATGAAAAATGAATATGAAATATATCCAGGTAATTGTATTAAGATAACCAAAGTTGAAATGTATTTATTAAGATAATTGGTAAAGAAAAACAACTTTAGCTAAATTTCAAAAATATATTTGAGTACAACTTGTATTTAGCCTGAATCTTTTTAGTGACAAATGGTAAAGATATATTCTAGATCACAAAATTAAGTTTCTAGAATATTTTTTAGGTTTACATTAATTTAATTTAATGTTTGTACTTATTTTTTATCTTCATCAATTATTTTAGCATTTGTGAGAAGAATCATTTATAATTTTCTTCATAATAGGTTCATTGTCTTTTAGACACATCTTTTTTATATTTTATATTTGTTTTACATTAAACACTTACTCAAAATCATAAAATTTCATTCTAATATTTTCTTTATCAAATATTAAGTTTTAGGTTTGTTGATATTTGTATAACTCTTTTTACTAATTTACATAAGAAAATATTTAGTTAATTCTTGATGAAGTTTATTCAATCAATGTATATAAATCTAATTAATAAAAATAGTCTATGATTGAACTATATTAATGCAGATTTTTATTTGATGAGATTTTGACTAAGCAAATCTTCGTTGATTCTCATAACATGTCTTATTTATATAAATTATTAGCTTTTTATTGTTTTAATTTTTAAATTTTTAATATTTTGATGATTTAGTTAATTGGTACGATTATAAACAAACAAAAAATATTTGATGAGATGAGGTGATTCTAAATATATATGTGGTAGTTACGAGACGATTAATTTAAAGAAATTGAAGAAGTAATGAAAATTTGATAAATGTTTCTCGATATCATTTTTAGAACAAACTATCAAAATTTTACTCAGTCGTGTAAAGATGTTAGACGAATTAAATTTTGGAATAATTTATAAAACACATGTGTTTGATGACTCTACGTTGTGCAAATAATTATATTTTATTTATTTAATGTGTGATGTTTATATATATTATATTTTGTATGTTTTTTATTTATTTAAAGTGACTATTCTTACAAATAATAGGATTAATAGTGGTTGCAAAGCCTTTAAGTGTTATTTAGTATAAAAATACATTACTTTTGTCCTCATAAAATTTATTTAGTTAACTCATAAGTATTATAAAACGTTGAAATTGTTGCTGTAACTTTGACTATATTTTATATTATATTTAAACATTATCCTTTTAAATTATCAAAACTCCTCTTAAAGTAGAGGAATTGTCTAATAACTAGGATTTAAAAAGAAAACCTCATTCACTATTTTTATTTTAAACACGTTTTCTTATGTTGTAAATTTATTGATATACATTTTTCTCTCAATGAAAGATATGTTGTCATTAAAATTATTTTTATTGAATTTTATTATAACAACAAAAAATAAGGATACAGTGTTATAGAAAAAATTAAAATAAATTTAATTAGTATATATAGATATTTCAGAACAGTCATCACATATATAAACATAAGTACGAGGAATAACGGATTAGGTATAATATGGATAGTATCTATGTATAATTCGACTGGTCAGATAAAACTGTATCTACTATCCGACCCATTACTTACACTGTTTAAAAAATATTCACAAATATTTTAAAAACTGTAAGGATATCCAAAAAAAAAATTATTTTATACATTTTTAAAATAAAATTAAAAAAAAAAAAAATATATATATATATATATATATATATATATAATTTAAATTAAATTAAATATAAATTAAAATTTAATTTTAATTAAATTTAATCTAATAAAATGTAATTTTATTTCATTTTTAATTAAATTTAATAAAAAAAATACATAAATTAATTTTTTATTTTATTTTTTTCGGGTTGGTACCCGACCTGAAGCGGATATTGTTCCCGGATTTTTTCGCCATCTACGAAACAGGGTATATCAAGGGTATAAGAAAAAGAAATTGTAGTGACAAGGAGTGCTTCAGAATTAGGGAGTGAGAACAAATTTGCAAACCCTAATTCCTTCATTTCCCTTTTCCATGGCGTCCCAAGGCAAAAGAGGTGGAGTATCGCTTCCTGCCAGGCCCAGCGATTCCAACTCCGTACTGGCCAAGATCTCGCGCTCCTCCATTGTCGTCCGTGGTAGGGAGGCTGCCGGCGACGCAGCCTTTGTGGCGAAGAAGCTCCTCCAAAGCACCGGCAAGGCGGCCTGGATCGCCGGCACCACCTTCCTCGTCCTCGTCGTCCCTCTCATTGTGGAGATGGACCGCGAGCAGCAGCTCAACGACCTCGAGCTCCAACAGGCCAGCCTCCTTGGCACCCCTGCCCCCAAATAAATACGAGGTTTTCTCAGATCCGTTCCTTCCATTTCAAACCACTCGCTGCATGCGCTTCTGCCTGCTTCTAGGGTTTCCGCTTCCAATAATTTTACCTTTCTAGATTTTGATAAAAAGGAACACTTTCTGTGAGAAGTTTTTGTGTATTTTTACTGTTGATACTGTCATTAGTTGTTACAAAGTTGGTCGCCCGATTGTGATTTACCTGCTGTTTTTAATAGAATGATTATGTCTCACTATGCATTGAGATGCTTTATTTTGTCTGTGATGAACTTGAGAAGGGCCTCCTATGCTGAATAGAGTGATCGCATTTCATAGGTTTAGTCTTAGACTAGTTTCGTATTGCAGATCAAACTTAGTTACTGTTCTTATATTTTCTTTGAGTATTGTTTTTGAAAAAACGTTTGCTTATGATGGTTGTGCTTGTTATCGTTGGGGATTAGAAAGGGAAGGTGCTCGGATGCATGAGGAGCCCGAATTATTCTGTTGATTGTTGGGCACGGTTAAATTCTTAAATTAGACACAAAAATAAAAACAAAGGGTGGGGTTGAGTCAAATCAATAACTTGAAGTTATGATCATTTGGAAACCGATGGTCAATACTATAATTACTGAATGCTTATTGTTTAATTTGACCCACTTTGTGCCTGTGCCTGAAAATGGTATAGTCTTTGGTGGCTTCTTAGCTTCTTGGTGAGTTCATTCGAACCCAGCATGTAGAAACACCCTAGTTTTGGATTTAGCTTTAAGTAACCTTGGCTTATTCTCAGACAAGGTGGTTCTACCTTTTCTTGGATGGGATGGTTCTGATTTTATGGTCTGGTTGAACACAAGCTAAAAGTGCATCTGAAAGCATCTCCATTGGAAATACAGAGCTTTTTCTAGTAGAGAAGTTTTTTGTTTTCAAAAGCATTTCTGGCTTTGTATCTATCTAAACACCCTCTTAGTATTTTGTATTTTTTTATATAATCCTAATTCGAGTTTCATTCATAATGTCCTGTCAAAGTTTAAACTGCTTCATCTGATTCAAAAGTTATGCCATCGTCTACTGTTCTGTCACTTCATTCCTCTCTGTAGGCTCGGTGCTACCCAAACCCATTGCGTTTTTGTTATCTGGAAGATCTTGTCCACAAGATCTGTAGCACACAATTTGGTTGATGCATTCTGATGGTCCAGTTGGTTGTGACTAGCACCTCTAAGTGCCAACGAGCAGACGCTTATGGTGCATTGATTGATAAATTTTTATATTCTTGTTCACTATGTTAGTTCATATATGTTTTGGAATATGAGAAAATGGTGGAGAGGAAACCTTTTGCATCCTCTCGCCACGATTGGAGTATATCACGGTTTTGCTGTTCTCTAAAAGACTAACCTTAATTCACATCTCATATAGGAAAATGACACTTGAACAACCATTTTTGACAACATTTAGACACGCGCACACGTGTCAAAATCTGAGTGGTCCATTTTCATTTAATTTTTCCAACTGGACCACTCAGATTTTGACACGTGTGCGCGTGTCTAAATGTTGTCAAAAATGGTTGTTCAAGTATCATTTTCCGTTTGCATCTTTTTCTTACAATCGCGATTTCTCTCTCACTCTCGAAAATATAATTTTGAAAATTAAAAAAAAAATTAAAAAAAGTAGTAAATTTTAAAACTACATGTGTATAACTACTGGAATGAAGACATCTGGTTGAGACGATGCTAGTGAAGTGAAGAATTAGGATTAGGGGTGGTAACAGGTCCTACTTTAATCCGTTAGATACCCATTTTAAAAAAATTTCGGATGTTTTAAAATTCGTGGATACATGAAAATATTAAAAAAGGTATTTTATATGTTTTTAAAAAATAAAATTTAAATAAAATTACAAAATAATATATAAATTTTAATATAAATAAAATAAATATAAACTAAAATTTAATTTTAATTTAATTTAATTTAATAAAATATAAATTAATTTATTTAAATTTAATTTAATTAAATAAAATATATATTAAATTTTTTTTTAGGTAACGAATATATGTGAGTATAATAATATAATATTCACGTTCGATATTGGACAGAAATTGTATTACTTTCTATTGGAAATCTTACGGTAATCATAATAAGGTAACTCTATCTTAATTTGGATAAGAATTTTTAGAAAAGTAATTATTTGTATAAATAAAATAAAATATAGTGTTTGGAAAGAGAAATTAAAGAAAAATAAAATTGATTAAATTTAAAAGTGAAATTTGATTACTTAAAATTATAAATTTTTACATTCTATTTAGAAATAAAATTCATTTCACATTTTTTTCATATATTGAATTTATGTTTTTTTAATATTTTTTATTCAATTTCGATGTGAATATCTTTAATTGAGGTGTGATAATCTCATCTCTGGTTAGAGACTCATTATTTCAAGTAAAGTTTTATTAATGTTGATGAAATTATGTAGATTAAAATAAATTATAAATATTTATACCTTGATATTGCTAAGTTTTTTCTCTCTTTTTTTTCAAAAGTTACTGTTACTTCTCAATAATGTTAAAGTTTTGTAGTTAATGTTAATTGAAGTTTTCTTGATTAATATTGGTAAAGAATTCTTTTTTCTCTATATGCATGACTATTTATAAATTGACATGTTAGAACTTTTTTAATTGACATTGATATAAATGATTTTTCGCTTAATAATGTTTGGTTTATTTTTTTTAATATTTTTTGGGTGTCATATATATAAGTTTTTCTAATAAAATCATTTCTAGGTAAAATATGTAGTAGTTAATGTTAACCAATATCTAAAAAATAGTCTTTTTGATCTATGTAGTTATTATTATTTGATGGTAATTTTTATAAAAAATTAAAATTTAATAATGTTTTTATTAAAAACATATTTGACAATTGATGGTTGCTCGACATGTTCAACGTATTTTATTATTTCCAAAGAAGGCCAGTATAAATCTAGCATGTACTTAAACACCATGAAACAAATAATGCTTATTAAAAACATACGCATTTATTTTAGAATTAATATATTACACATGTGCACTTGAATGTTTTCTTTTGATATATGAATTACAAATATCTTGATGACACCCTAATAAATTTATATAGTTCACACCCACTGTTTTGTCCTCTTTCCTTTTTTTTTCTTTATAATACAAAATATTACTTTCTTTTATTGACAATAATATCTATAAAAGTATGTTTTTCAAATTGTTGTATAGTTTTAAATATTATAATTAGACAGCGTAATTTTTATATTAATTATTTTGCCTCTTTGTATTTCATTTTGGGGATGGAGATGCATGTAATGTAATAATTCAACAAGGTACTAAAATCATAGCCTCTTCTCTCACCTAATGTAATTTGTAATTACCCAACAAGGATCTATTTGTTTACTTTTTCTGATTTTTTATTTCTTTTTGGTTTAAAATAAATAAATTATTTAATAAGAGTAGCTTAAGTGATTTCCAAAATCAATATTTTTTAATACAAAAATGAAGTACCTTTAAATCTTCATGGTTTCGAGTTTTTTAACTTTTAATATTGGTTAAACTCCTTCGAAAGTCCCTATTATTGTGGGGTTTTCTCAGTTAGATTTCCGTCTTATAGATTTCGTCAATTTGGTCCTTTATATTGAAAAATTGACTCAATTGAGCCATTGTCGTTAAATCAACTTAATGAGGTTAAGTTTTTTATGACCTGTGAGCATGACGTGGACATTTTATGAGACGTGGCTTGCATAGATCATTATACATGGTTTTTTTATTAATGAAACACTTATACGTGACATTTTTAAAAGAAACATTTTAAAAATTAGGGTTTTTATGAAAGATTTTAAAATTAGGGTTCATTGAAATTTGAATTGGGTTTAAAATTGGGAAGAGGAAATCTGAAGCGAAGTGTATTACAAGCACACGTGAAGTCCTTAGTGGAGAAGGAATTTGGTAAATTAAGGCATTGGAGGTTGCTATCTAGAGGTTGGACGTGAATCGTGAAGTCCTTCAATGTGTATCACAAGCGATTGGTGTGGATTTTCGTGGAAGCACTAGTGTAGTCAGGGGAAACGATAACGGTTATTTTCGTCCATAGGCAGCGATTCCTGAACCGAGACATATCCAAGCTTAGAACCAAGGCATAAAAGGGTATGATTTTGCCTTGGTTCAAAGTTAATCGAAGCAGTAGGGTTTTTTATTTTTTTAATTCTTTTTTCGCAAGACTTTATGTCCTCGGTTCCCTTTGAACCGAGGCAGTATGTCCGCCTCTACTGCTTCGGTTGGCCCCTTAACCGAGGCAGTAGAGTTTTTTTTTTCTTTCGCCAGCCTTTCTGCCCTCGTTGACAACTAAAACCGATGTCCATAGGAATGTTTTTTTGCTTCGATTATGGTGTCAACTGAAGCTATTTCTCCTACTTCGATTATGTCCCAGCCTTTCTAACATTTTATAGTTTTTATCAATAAGCAAATATGCGATGTATATAAAATATATTTTTGAATTATGTAATTTAAAAATATTAATTCATAATATTTTTAAATTTAAAAATATTTTTTAAATTGTATAAAATTAAGTGTTTTAAACTTTCTTTATAAACCATGGAGTTATGAAACCCTTTCTGGTGGTCCCCCGCTCCTCCCTTTTGCTGCTCTCCTGCCCGCCCGCCTCATGCGGTGTTCCCGTTGGGCGCCCCCCCGGCCCCCGCCCCCGGTGCCCCCTGCCCGTCTTGGTTTCCCGATTTTTTCCGCTGCCTCCGCCCCCCCCCTGCCCCTTCCTGGCGCCCTCCCCCCCCCTCCCCGCTGCCGCTCCCGTCTCCTCTTTCCTCTTTCCCCCACGCTTGCTCCCCCTTGGGCCCTCCCTCCCTTCTCTCCTTTCCCCACGCCTTCCCCACCTCCCCCCCCCTCCCTCGGTCCTTCTCCCTCTGTCCTTCCTTTTTTTCCACCCTTTTCGCCTGTGCGCCTGGCCTTCGCGCCCCCCCTCGTCTCCCCTTCCCCCTTTCCCCTCTTTCCTTCTTAGCCGGTTCTTCCTTTTTTCTCTTTCTCTCTACCCCCGCCCTCCCTCGCAGGGAACACATGGAACATTGACACCCGACACCCAGGAACAATGTCCCACATTCACGTTCTAAATCATGTTTATGATCCAACCATCTCAAAATATATCAATTCTACAAAACCAAAAATGTAGGGGGGAGCATAGGATTGAGGTTACCACATTACATCTCTACTTTTACAGAGTCGGAAAATATAGCATAGAAGGTTAGATCGATATCAGATCACA